ATTTTCAATGTTATCAAACTCTCTTTCCTCAGCAGAACCACAACTATTTCTGGGATTCTTGAAAGAGGTAGGTATTCAGTACCTGCTTGCCTTGCAACATAGATTTCCTCACATCTCTAACAGCCTTTCTCAGGAATGCTGCTAGAGAGCTGTGTGTATTTTATGCATTCCCAAACTGGGCACCCAGATTACAAGATTCAGTTTTTTTCAGCTCTTTACGTTTTTCCCCTTTTAATTAGAGGTCTCTAGTCTCTCTTTCTACAAACGTGGTCAGGAAAGAAACTAAGTGCTGCTATCTGTAGAAAGATGTGTTGATGTATGTCTGGATTGTGATGAGTTGTAGGAGCCCCCAATAAAATGATTTTAAAAAAAGGTGTTTGCTTTCTCCTGGTGATAAAAGTCCCCCCTGGACACCCCCCGCCCCCCCCCCCCCGAAAAAAAGGCTGTGACATAGCTGGTTGATGGGCAACACTTCAGGCTCAGAGAGAACTTTTTGGACGCGCAACCTTCCCTCCGACTTCCGTGGATGTAGCATAAGCCCGGGGGCTTGAAAAAGCAAGGGCACGGTCTCATTTTAAACTTGCACTCCATCGCACTTTCAAAAGAGTTCAAGAGTTAAGCTGCAGTTCAAATCTGGATTTCCTTCCCGGTCCATTCCCGGGGAGCTCTCCGTGCAGACGACTCCGGGTGGACGCAGTGCTGGTTTCGGCGATCGTGCGCACCGTCCCCAGCGAAGCCCGGGTGGGAGGGTCCACGCGCACAGCCCGGCTCGCGCGCGGACGCGGGTCCCCGAGCTCCGCTGCGGGCGCCCCCTCGCCGCCCCGCGGCCCGCGCCCGGCCTCGCCGCCCGTCCCGGCGGGAGGTGAAACTTCGCCCGGCCGCGATGAGCCTTCCTCCGCCGCGCCCACCGCGCCTTCCTAAAATCTAGATGGGTATGTGACTTCTTCCATGTTCTTCATTCACATATTCAATGAGTATCAACTAACACCAGTCTTTAGTTCTGAGAAAACGATGGTTAACAAAATAGATCGGCTCTGCATTTAATACCGGTGGAATCTTTTGGAAAAGGAGCGAGAGAATAACTGAACTGTATAGGTACAGATTGTTGAAATGGTGTCTTTCCCCCCCAGTGCAGTAGCAATAATATCACATTCTCATGGGTGGGTGGGGGGATTTCTCTTCTTTTTTTAATACTCAATGTCTTTACGAATTGTGTTACGTAGAAAGTGTGCCAGGGGTTGCGACAGAAAGAAAGGAGTTGGCTCTAAAAAGCAGCAGTTTTATTATGGTGGTTAGAAGAGGCCTTTCTGGGGGTGATGCTGAACCTGCGCCAGGAGAGCCACAAAGCGGCGGCTATGTGAAAGATGGTGAGGGGCAAGTAGTCCTCTGAGGTCCAACTAGCTACAGTGGAAGAGTGTGGTGCTAGCTACTCCCTGGATGGTACATTTCTAGGCACGGTCTAACTATATTTGCACTTTTAAAATATGTACAATGTAGTTGTACAAAAATACTGTCCTGAAAAATTCTGAAAACGAATGACAAGATGACACAAGGTTCCTTCATGTGGGGGAATTCACTGAGTCTCAGAACTGAGTTATGAGATTATACCCTGTTGTCCAGTTGACTCCAACTCAGTGGGACCTTATAGGACAAAGCAGAAGGGTCCATAGGGTTTCCAAAGTTTATGGAAGCAACAATGGTTCTTTCCTGGAGCAGCTGATAGCTTCCAACCATCACTCCTTCAGATGGCTTAACCATCACACTACCAGTGCTCCTTATGAGACAAGAGCCATGAAATACAACACCCCATCCCCGTATGTACATAGTCTTGACTTCCTCAAGGTGAGTTAGTACACCATGATCTGAAAAAGAAAAAGAAACAGGACATGTTAAAAAGTGGGATGTTTTCCAATATAGTAATTCTCAAGGGGAATCATGAGATCTTTGCCATTGTAAAATCTGGGAGCCATCGCCCCCTATGTCCAACCTCCTCAATTTTGGGGAGTCAGGGCTATAGAATCTGAAGTGTCTGAACTCTTAGCCACTAGAGGGAGAAAGTGTGCCTCTGGTGACCAGGGAACCAATGAAAGACAGGAAAAGGATAGACTTTCAAGGGAGCTAAATTAAGCACAAATCAGCTAGGGGCAAAAACTATAAAGTGGTAGCTCTGGGGAACTAGAGAATAGTTAAGACTTCACCATGGATAGCATCCTACAAAAGAATTAGATTGCATAAACGACTAGCTCTTTTATTTCAATTTTGAATGTCTTCACACATCTTTTCTAAGGACCTTCTTATCTTTAGCATTAGGCTTTGAGGACACTGATTATCAATCTAGAGGAGTTGGTTTTATATATTGGGCATTTATTTATGAGAACATATCTTCTGAGATCATGTAAGATTAAAGTTCTGTCTA